AGAAGGCTTACGATGCATAAACAGAGTGGTGCTATCAAATCTCATTTGGACTCAACACACTCAATCACAATTAGCCGTGAAATCCTCGACAGCAACACCAAAGTAATATACCAGAACAGCAACTACACGCATCTTAAAATTGCAGAAGCAGTCCTAATCGACATCAATAAACCAAAAATAAATATACAACAAAAAATGACAACCTCACTTCCAACCCGGCGCTTAACCAACAACGAAAACAAAGAAGTAATAAAAACTAGCATCGTAAATAGTGACAAAGAAGAATATGATGCTATCGATGAAGAAAAGGAGACCAAAGAAGATGACCAGCCAATTAAGAAACCTGACACCTAATTCGCATCAAAGTTCAATTTTACAACACCAAAGTTAATTTTTACAACGTCAAAGTTAATCTTGACAAAGTCAATATTTCCCTATATATACAGCAAGGAGCACTGACGATGATTCATTCGGAATCGAAATATGGCCTTATTTGCAGCATGAATTCGAAAAATAAGTTTATTTTGAATTTTAATAAACTAAACGTTCACCAAAAAACTTTAGTGAGAAAAATCGAAAAAACGAACTACAAACATATTAACGCCAAACATTCGGTAGAATTTATAGAATATATATATATATATATATATTTTTTTTCCCCGAGGTTAAAAGCAATAACTTCTCTGCGAATTTTTTGAAGTTGACGACGTAAAAAAAAGTGCAAAGTTTTTGCAGCATGAAGCCAGCACATTATCGCTCAGCCTGCAGGAGTTTTCCGAAGACGTTGACAAGAATATAATGTGGAACGAATTTCTTAGTATATGTCGGTTAATTTTTGAAACTAAGGTCGAAGACAAATTTCCCTGTTTTCTCGCTGACGACTTGTGGAAAGTTACTAATTGTAACATTAGATTTGAGAAATTGTCAGTTAAACAGGTGAAGTTGCAAAAAAGTGTTATTCAAAATAGTCCGGCCGTTCTGGAATTTCTTGAAGAGCATGGCATTATACTGAGTGATGTCCAAAAAAAGGTGAACAGTATCGTGTGCAGTGATGTATGCGCTGATTCAGATGCTGAGACATCAGTCGCTAAAAATTTGTCTTACATTGCTGAAGAAGGTAACAATGATGGTGGAAATTTTATAACAGTCAGACGCAAGAAAAGAAGAAACATTTTACTATCAACTAATACAAGTCCATGTTGTCATGCAATATCAAAGATCACTGTTGAACCTCATAGGCCTACGCAATATAAAATATCAGCTAATAAAGTTGTATATCGGAAAAATTTTTATCACATTGGTAATATTTCAAAGACTTGTGCATCAAATGTTGTTGACCACTTTGAATCAGTTAATATTAAAGTTTTGCTACCCTGTATTCGAGAGGAGAGATGACAAAATAAAACTTGATGAAACCCACTCTTCTACGTCATTCCGGTTGGGTGTAGATGAGAAGTATGCGGAAATAGTTGAAAGATCAAGTTCTTGGCTTGATTATATTCAGGTTAGGAATTGGGTTTTCAATAACAACAGAAAAAATGGCAGCACCAGAAATGCCGATGTCGATGTCAGGACATGTTCTGATGTGAAACGATGATATGGGACTAGTGTCATGTTTTATCTGCAAACTTTAAATTTATGAATTTTTAATTTGACTTAATTTTTTTCATTTACCCGCTATTTTTATATTATACAAGTATATATTGTATATTCGTTTAATGTACGTTGTGGATAAACTGTTGACTTTTGACAATCATTTCTTTAATTTATTGTTACTGGATTTTGAGAGTGCCTGTGAGATTTCATTTAATAGGCGCTATACAAATGCCTTTAATAATATATATATATATATATATATATATAATTTGGGTTGAGACTCGTACATACAGTTATTAAGAAATATCACTTCATTTAGCTTTAATCAATGCGAAACAAAACAGTTTTTCAGTTTTGAATTTACGCTAAGATTTTATTCGTCATTTTTTGGTTTGGAATCTGCTCACATCACACCTTTTTATTTCAGCTAGTCTCAATTAGTTTTAAAACGTTTAACTAAAGATGCTTAGTGTATGCTGATGGTATCATTAGCTTTTCAAACGGAGTGAATGACTATGTGAAACATTTGATTGACATTTTTAAACGCTTTCGTGACGCTAATTTGAAGTTGCACACAAAAAATGTATGTTTGCACTTTACTTAGGTTACTACATCACTGATAAAATTATAGTAACTGATCCTGATAAAATTAAACTTATTAAAAATTTTCCAGTGGGCTACCCAGTAATTTAATATTATTACGATCATTTTTAGGTTTACCACAATTTTACAGAAGTTTTCTTTTGTATAATTTGCAGATAAAAAAAATAAACATTTGATTGGAACATTGGTTGCCAATCAGCTTTCGAACAATTGAAAGATGCCCAAGCGAAAACTTCAACATTTAAATATCCGTACACTACGAAACCATTTATTTTGCACACAGATGCATCTACCAGTGCTATTTTTTACTTACTGCAACAAAAAAATTTTCAAGAAATCATTCGACCGGTGGCATTCGTTGAAACTTATTCAAAATTTTCCAGCACCCAGTAATGTAAAATTATTACGATCATTCATTGGTTTAGCACAAGTTTACAGTCTTTTTTAAAAAATCTGTTTTGACTTCTTAGTTTTCACTCATTTTTTATTACGTTATTTTATAATGTTGTTGTTTTAACTATTAATTTCAAGAAGAAAATATTCATTTGGGAATCAATTTAAATAAAATTACAATATTTAAAATAATATTAATTGTAATAATATATAAAAATTTTTAGGTTAGCATAACCACATATATAAAATATGTTATGTTATATAATAATATATATAGCATAAACATAAACAAAAGTGGCGCCATTAGTAGTAAAGGCATTCATGTGTAAAATACGCAAAAATGTTATTTTTAATAATATTATTAAAATTTTAAAACTATACCAATTAAAAGCAAACTAATTTATAGATTTTGATTGTTACCTGCTTTCTCCTTAAAAAATATTTTATAAGTTAATTATCTATGTTTACGGTACAGTATTGGCGTTCTGTAGCTCTTAAAATGTCTTACGATAAAAGCAACACGTGACCAAGCTTTATCACGTTTTTTGTTTGTGTTCGACTAAAAGTTGCTCGCGCGTGTTGCCTTGTCGAATCGGGATATCATTCTTTCGCCTCTCTATTCCTTCAGGTATGTCATGATTTTTTTGATAATTTGTTTGTGTGGTTTAATTTAAAATTTAAATTAATTAATAAATATAATAAATAATTAATTAAGAAGAATAAAGAAGATGTGTATTGGATTGGCTAATGCATTTAAAATTTTAATTTAAAAATGCTATGGCCAATATGCATCCTCTTTATTCTTCTTAATTAATTATATTATAATAAGTTTATTGTTGGTTGTAGTAGTGATGTCAAGTTTTGGAATGGACAATCATTAGTATTAATCATTAATGAATGTAATTATATATATATATATATGTAGAGTTTATATAGCGCTCGTTCAAGTTCTCACAAACGCTTTATCCCACAAGTGCGCTTTGATTCTTTTTCTAAAAATCTCTTCATCAATCTCATTTGTTTTCAGCTCTGTTGGCAAATCATTCCACATCCTTGGGCCATACACTGCAAAACTTCTTGACGTCATTGATGAGTTTACCAACGGTTTCTGAAAATCATTGTTTTTGGAAGATCTTAAGAATCTACCCACCACTGTTATTGGTGTTTTTTTGCACATATCCATTAGATATTTCGGAGCCGAACCTTGCATATATCGTTTCATCATCACCAAAACTTTGAAAACGATTCTGCTTTCAATTGGCAGCCAATGTAATTCACGAAAAATTGGGGTCACATGGTCATATTTTTTCCTTGTACTATAAGCTTTGCTGCCCTATTTTGTATTGATTTTATCCCATATATTGTTGACTTCGGACATCCACTCAGCAAACTGTTGCAATAATCAACCCGACTGACCACAAACGCATGGATCAGAGATTTTGTTGTATCCTGATCAAGAGAGGCTTTTATGCGGCCAAGCTGTCGAAGCTGAAATGAACAGTCCCTAACGAGGTTATTCACATGCTGATGCATATTCAGTGTACTGTCCAACCAGAAACCGAAATTTTTCACCACACCAGTGAACGGCACCATCACAGACCCAAATCTTATGCTCTTTACATCAGTTTTCGAGAGCTGTTGTTTAGTTCCAATCAACATTACTTGTGTTTTTTCCTCATTTAATTTTAGTCTGTACGAACCCAACCAATTCTTTAGGCACATTATTTTCTCTGAGACAAGTTCAACCATTTCCCCCACCGACCCCACCCTAGCGCTGCTGATGATCTGTATGTCATCTGCATATGCGTACACGCGCAGATCATTATGTTTCAACAATTTCGCTACTCCTGAAGTGTACAGGAGAAAAAGGAGTGGGCCTAACACTGAGCCCTGAGGAACTCCGTTCTTTATTTCCATGACTGTTGATGCTTGTACCCCGTAGACCACTTCATACGTTCTCTCGCAAACAAATGATGACAACCAACCAAGTACCTTGCCTTTCAAACCAAATTGATTTTTCAAAACCAAATGCAGCACGTCATGATTGACACAGTCGAAAGCTGCACTCATATCCAAAAGTGCCAAGAGAGAAACCTTTTTCTTGTCAACAGCTTCGAACGCATCTACCAACAGACGAGTTAGTGCTGTTTCAGTCGAATGATGTCTTCTGTAGGCAGATTGTGCATACGGCATCAGGTTCTGTTTGTCTAAATGCTGCACCAGCCGTCGTCCTACCACTCTTTCGATTAACTTAGACAAGAAAGTTAATTTTGAAACCGGTCTATAATTGCCTGGATCAGACACATCTGACTGGGGTTTTTTCAACAACGGCGTGACAATTGCATGCTTGGCTATCTTTGGTAAAATTCCGTCTCTCAAAGATGCATTGACCATGACAGTTATGAAGGGTAGAAGAACATCCAGAAACTCCTTAGAATGTATGTTGGGACAGGATCACCTGAGCATGTCGTTGACGGTGATTGCGTTATTATTTTGTGAACCTCTTCTTCTGTGCAAGGTTCAAAATTATCCAATACTCCAACAGACAACTCTTCAATTTCAGGAAAATCATAATGCTGAGTCGCCCTCATTACTCTATCAACTTTGTCTTCAAAATGTTTGATAAAATCGTCAGATGAAAGTTCTGTCTTTTTTGACTCTGACATCTTTACATTTTTATGCATCATCTTGTTCACATGACGCCAAAGTTGAGAAGGATTTTTTTTTGCAAGATGCTATCTGATTTCGCCAATAACTATTTTTCTTGTCTATCAGCAACACTTTCCTGTCCTTCAGGGCATCATACCAATTTTTCCGATCATCATCATTCTTTGTTTTGCGATATTTCTTTTCCAGCTTCCTACACCATCGTCTAGACCGAATGCACTCGTCATCAAACCAAGGGGTAACTGGACAAAATTTACAGTTAACCTTCTTAATTGGTGCATATTCATCTGCCAACCGCCGTAACTCCGTCACATAGCAATTCATCAGATCCCCAGCGCAAGCATCATCAGATGGTCGTACAGCCAGTAATGTTGACATCAAAGAACCTCGAAATGCCACTTTGTCATACTTCTTCCAACATCGTACGAGTTTAGTTACCATTTTTGGTTTAACCTTTTGCATGGGCAACAAACACGTTATAAGGGCATGGTCCGAAAATTCTCCTGGTGTTCCCACAGTGACATCAGTAATCTCGTAACTCGATGTAGCAGCCACAAAATCTAATGTTCCATTTTTGACGTGAGTTGGACCATGCACAAACCTGATCTTATCAAATGTTGCAAAGAAATCTTCCATCCGCCTCGCATTTAAATCATCAGCGTCCTCTAGATGAATATTAAAATCACCAGCTATCAACAACGGAATGTTATTCACAATCAGTCCCTCAACCACATGACTCAGTTCGTCAAAGAACAGCTTGTCAGCACCTTTTGAGCCCGGACGATATATCGCCATCAGAATGACTGGTGTATTTGCCATCGAGATCTGGACGCATAAACACTCAAACGATGTTAGTTTTGGAATATCCAACCGCCCGAGGGAGTACACATCCTTAACCATAACAATCAAACCACCATGAGCTGGATCAAATAAATTCCCTGACGGCATCAACGTACCCATAGCCTGGTGGCAAAGCAGATTTTACCGAATCATCATTTGACGCTCTGTGCCATGTTTCTGTAAGCACCATAACATCAATTTTGTTATGCAACAAGGCATCATAGATTACCACTGACTTGTTTGACAACGACCTCACATTGAGCAAACCAAGTTTCATCATGGTATTATCTCTATTTCTATCAACATCATCGTCTTCTGTAGAGAATTTTTTTAACTTTAAGCAATAGCTGTTTGTTACCAGATTATTTCTTGGAAACATTTTCTTCCTAGGATTCCAGAGTTTTAACGAGAAAAGTTTTTTACGTATCCTTCTATTAGGTTTCAGGTTATTATTGAGCTGCAGCAATTGTTCAACAGTGTACGTTAATTTATTTACATCCATATTGATCAGTATAGTTTATTAAAATCAGTCTGTTTAAAACTTTAATTCAGATCAACAACTTGCAATTTAAAAACTATGACTATTGAGATAAATTAAAATTAGTTTAGAATTATTTTAGAATTATTTTAGAATTATTAGTTTAGAATTATTTAGGAGCTATATAAACTAATTTTCCAATCAAACTCAACTTTTAACCAAAAATGTATTTCTACACTGAGAGCTTACACTTGCTCATTAACATAATTGACTCCGCCTACAAAATGTCCACTTAAACAATAAACCTTTAAAACTCCCAAAAACAGTTTAACGCAAGACCAAATTTAGGTTTACAACTGACTAATCACTAGAAAACCGATTTTTAAAATTTTATTTAAACTTTTGAAGAGCAAAAACGACATAAAAACACCAACATTCCAACAATTAAGCACACTTTACGTAACACGACTTGTCAGATAAACAAGCGCACGTTTATATCTTTGCTATGTTTGTTTTGTGGTATGTTCATTTGCAAGTGTAGTCATTATTTCAGGTATTAAGAAAGTTTCATAATTATTAATGATGTGGGTTGTGGTGATGATTATGTTGAAAAAGAATTATAGTATATTAGAAATTATTTAATATTGAAATTATTTAGTATTAGAATCATGTTTATTTGTGTGTATTTGTTGTTGTTGTTGATGTTTGAATAAGAATCTGTTGAGATTTTTATTGTATTTTACAAGCGTACATCGTTTCTTTGTGGTTGCTTATTATTAGGGATGCACCGGATTCAGGTTTTTCAAATCCGGCCGGGGCCGGACTTGGCCAGATTTGAAATTCAAAAACCGGCCGGAGCCGGGGCCGGACTTGGCCGGATTTGAAATTCAAAAACCGGCCGGAGCCGGGGCCGGATTTTAGTTACCATTTTACATACGTTAGAAAAAATACTCACATTTACGGTTATCTACATGTTGAACATCAAAAAATAACACCAAGCAAATAGTTATTTAATTCAAATATATGAATAAGTTGTGTGATACGCCAAATTCTGTACACAAAGATCAGCTTATAATTTATGCATATTGGCATAACCCAAGTTAAAGCACAAAGAAAATTGTCCAGCTCACCGCACAATTAGTGATGTTGTAGTTATGTGTCATCAGTGTTGTGCTTGTTACTCATTGAAAGTAATTTGTTATTTTTACTTGTTACTTTGGGAAAAAGTAATTTGTTACTGTTACTTGTTATATTTATAGAAAAGTAATCTGTTACTGTTACTTGTTACTATAAAAAGTAACAAAGTAACTTTTTTGTTACTACAGTACAGCATACATGTAAACAGACGCTGCAAGTACTCTTTCATATATTCTCAATATCAACATTAATAGGTGCGCACATGAATATACATATACAATACATAGAAAGATAGTCAATAAGATACATATAATTGGTAGCACCTAAATTTACAATGTACGTAAATCACTTATTTGGCAGAAAATAATTTATTTGCCCGCAAAAGTAGTTGACGCTCAAAATGCTCATCAGTCATCCGATTCCTTCTAGGAACCAGTATCTGACCACCTAAACTGAAAAGTCTCTCAACCGGTGCACTTGAAGGTAATGGTGTATTGAATTTCTTGAACAACTTCAAAATACCCGGGTATTTTTGCAGGCATGCAATTTCACGAGAATTATCACTTAAATACAAGTCAAGTTCTGCAGCAGCATCAACGTTGTCACGTGGTTCATTTGCAAACGAAAAAAATTCATCATCTGACACAGTACCTGACTCATCAGTCATCAGTATCAGGCTCAGTGACCTGCTACTGCTGTTTAACAGCCTGCAACTCGTCATACAGTAAACTACGAGCAATCTTTTTCCTGTCGTTATTGTCAATTTATCTCATACGAAACTGAGGCAATGTGACACTAGCTATGATCAAATCATGACGTTCATCATAACCTTGAAATCGCTTATCAAGGCCGGATAAAACAGCAGTAAGCAAAGGCGCTGCCAACTTCAAAGTTGGTTTTACTGTTAGTAACTTTGTACGCAATGACATTAACGTTGGCAACAAAAACCCAATAAAACACTTCGTTTCAGCTTGGAGTATGTCCAATGCAGCTGCCAGTGGTTGCATAATACAACAATACTCTTTCAAGAAAAGGATGTCATTGGGACGAAATTGTGGGACCTCAAGAGCTACAAAAACTTCAGCAATATTGTCCTCAGATTGTTTTTCAAGGACCTGTCTCACTTTGTTAACTGCATTAAAGTACGAGTTCCAACGTGTAGCATTAGGCACAATGAAGGAAGTGTGAAACTTATCACGCACAATATCTGCAAATTGTGTGCTACGTGAAGTCTTGTTCCACAATGCAGAACACTTGATCATTGTTGACCGAGAGAGTTTTTTGTAAACAGCATCACTATTTGCACTTTCTATATCATGACTAGCAATCAAATTCAATGTGTGAGCAGCACAACGCTGATAAGGGGGTAAATATAAGTCACTGTCCTCATCATGCTCTGGTTCACTTAGCAATGCATCAACATCAACAAAAGCAACATTGTTATCATCATCACTAACTACACTACCATCATTTGCAAACTCTTTAAATGCTTTAACAAAGTTCGAACCATTGTCAGTTACTGTCATCAGTACTTTGTGGTTAATACGATACGCCGTATGTACAGCATTTAACCTAGCAGCAATGCAATCATACGTGTGACGCCCTTTCATGCGCTCACAGCACAAAGCCGCTGAACGTCTTTCCAGAGTATCAGGATCAATCCAGTGCGCTGTGATGCCTAGAAAGCTCCTGTTGTTGGATGACCAGATATCCGCTGTTGTGCACACATGATCGACTTTGCTGAGCGCTGCACAGATGCTTTCCTTCATCGTGTCCGCGAGTTTGTCCAACTTATCTGTAAACAGAAAGACGCGTGTTGCAAATTTAGTAGGGTCTTAAGGATTGTATTTACTTTTATTTGACATCGTTCAAAATAAGCAATTAATGTGACGAACCACAAAAAATCATATTATATTATAGAGATTGAACTAACCATTAAGAGTTTTTCTCGACAAAACTTTCTTTGTTGGCTGGAGACCTTGAACAAGCTCGATGAAGGGTTGAGATTCGACGATGCTCATTGGCTCCATATACTCGACAATGAAGTTTGTCACCAGGTGATCGACCTTCGCCTGCGAAATTACAGAACTACCAAGTGGGGTGCATGTTGTCACAGTTGCTTGTATGCAGGCTTTCTTTGCAGGCATGTCGAACACTTAACTAGTAGCCTTCCTCTTCCGGCATTCCTTTACTTTCTCCAAGACGTTTGGATGCTTCTTCTGTACAAGTTCATTGCATCCCATTCAGGCATTATTTCGTTCCGAAAAAACCAATAATTTATAAAAAAAACAAATTTTCGTTAACATTAAAAAAAACCTTACCTCCACGTGTTTTAAAAGATTCGCTGGGCTGATCTTCGATGTGCTAAGAATCGTTCGTTTTGGTAAGCACCGCTTGCACTGTACTCTCACATTCTTTCCTTCTTCTTTAACTACGTTAAAATATTCCTTCAGTTGTTCCATCCAAGCTACTTGGCCTACTTCATTATCAGTTGAATCCAATTCCTTCTCGTCTTCCATTATGCCAACTAAATCCGCGCAACTTACTAAATCACAAACCACGTGAAATGCTGAGACTGAAAGTAAACATAAACAAGAAAAGGAAGTGCATACAAACATAGAATATTAAATTGGCAAGTCATGGAAATGGTTCGTCTAATGAACGACTGAGCCGCAACAGGACAACCAATGATGGTTATAAATCACGCACTGCTGAAAAAAGAAACGAAGAACAAAAGTGCATAATATTTGTTACTGTTACTGCAAAAAAATAATTTGTTACTGTTACTTGCTACCCTGCACAAAAAGTAATCTGTTACAATTACTTGTTACTGGAAAAAGTAATTTGTTACAGTAATTTTGTTACTAGTAATTTGTTACTCCCCAACACTGTGTGTCATGTATACCTAGCCTAACCTTTAACATACCATGTTCTAAAATTATGTGCTTATGTATCTCTCTCTCTCTCTCTCTCTCTCTCTCTCTCTCTCTCTCTCTCTCTCTAAATATATATATATATATAGATATATATATATATATATATTATGTAACTATATGATCCGTCATGTGCAATTATTATCAATATATAGTATATACACGTGCACAAGTTCTTTTACACAAAGATCAGCTTATAATTTATGCATAACCCATGTTATAGCATAAAGAAAATTGTCCAGATCACCTCACAATTAGTGATGTTGTTATTATGTGTCATGTATGCCTTTAACTTAGCTTTAGCCATTAACTTATTGACATAAAATTAATTGAATTCAATAAAATTTTTTTTTCTATTTCTAACATTTTTAAAAATTGATAGACGCTTAAATCCGGCCACCAAATCCGGCCGGGGCCGGATTCGACCGGATTTGAAAAAAAAGCCGGATTTTGGCCGGGGCCGGAGCCGGGGCCGAACTTCGGTGCATCCCTACTTATTATGTTATTTTTTATCATAATTAAAATTATTTTATCGTATATTGTTCTTACGGGTGGACAGTAATTTTGAAATTGCATCTCCTAAGGATTTTTTCATCATAGAAAAATTTTAAATCTAAATATAAATATTTAAGCACTAGTTAATTTGAAATTGGTGGAGTCATTTTATTTTAATATACATTAGGTTTGTTTGTAAACATGGACGATACCATAGGAGTACCTATCTCCCGTTTTACCATATATAAAAATATAGTTTCGTGCAATTATATAAATAATTGCAATTATAATTATAGTAATTATATAAAATAAATAAGTGCACAGAAACTATGAAAATATTAGAAACTTATTATAAAACTATTAGAAAAGAATATTATAAATAATTGCAATTATAATTATAGTAATTATATAAAATAAATAAGTGCACAGAAACTATGAAAATATTAGAAACTTATTTGAAATTAAATTAAAATTAAATGTTATTTAGACTAAAGACTTTAAAAATAGTTGTCACGTTAACCAGGGATTTAAAAATCCCTGGTTAACGTTTGAAATATTTTCAAAAGTTCCCACCCCCCGCTTATGATAAGTTCTCTAGGTTCACCACTGATCAAACACATTGCATATGTTTGGTGAGGATCTCTTTGTATTTGAACTCAGTCACAGCAAGAGCAGGTGCCTTTAACGTTAACCATAGAGCCCAAAAAAATTTGGTGGTATGATGTCATGAGTCCTGGACTCATGGATGTGTTTTTATTTTTAAGCTTTACCTACACAATAAATTTCCAATTTTCCATAGTTCAGTGGAGATATTTATCATGATAAATATTTCTGCAGAACTGTTGAGAATTTACTAAAGGTTAAAAACGACATGGTAAATGTTGGTGTTTTTGCATATATATAGTAAGTTAATCAGATAATGTAGTGTTAGAGGCTGTATGTAATGGGATGTAGGCATGAAGGTCGCCAGCAAAAGACCACTGGATGTTAAAAGTTACTCAGTATCATGGTCGCCAAGCATTAAGATCTCTAAGATCATTGAGATTAAGATCTCGCCAGACAATAAGGTCGTTATTACTCTAAGGTCTAAATTTCTACGTAAAACATGGTCAACAAAACGATGTTCTAAGGAATAATTTTTTAATTTTCAAAATTATGATGTCGACAACAAAAATACGTAATCACTGGTCTGTACAAAACTTACATGAAAATTTTTACATGTACACACGAAGGATTCCAAAAATTCTAAGAATTGGAATTTAAACTACGTGCATTACCACATAAATAATCGATATTATTAATCACGGCATAGTTGCCAACGGTTGCCGAGATTCTGGCAGAAACGTCTCTGTAGATAATTTTGCTGGCGGGCGGTTGTCGACTTTGAATGAAGTGTTCGGTAGAGGCTACTTGATTGAACTTCTGCTCAGTTCTCAAGCTATCAATTAATTTTTATATGGTCGAATGATGTGCTCCAACTATTTGTTTGAATTGCGATTTTGTTTAAAATGCATCTAAATATCATGGAAGCATTGAATAGGTGTGTGAAGTTAGGCAAAAGTTTTAATATAAGCGGTAAATAATAAAACTTAAATAACTCGCAAAGTATTAATCTAGGGCCTGTGAAATTTTTTGTGTTTATTAAAAACATATCTTAAAAATTTTAATAAAATCTGAAGCCTAGTTATACATGACTTTAAAATCATTGTTTTGTGACAGACTGACAAACATTTTGGGGCCACTTCACTTTTGATTTTCTTCCACTTTATCCTGATTTTACAAACAACTGGGTTGTGGTCACTGCCGCTATTAGCTCCAGGGTAACTTTTTGAAATTTACATGTTTTTAAAGCATCATCAAGACCACGGTAAAAAGCATCAAGGTGTCTTCTGCTTTGCTTTCAGACGTTGGGACATAAACTTGAATAATAACTTGGTATGAATAACAGCTAAGAATTTCAATATTAGCGTTAAATAATTGTCTAGAGCATGTGAAAAAAGTTTCTAATGCTAAAAACCATTGAGATCAGATTTAAATTAACAAATACTATAATTATTTTTGTGAAATTTTTCGTAAGTTTTCTTTTTTTCACTAAAAATCACTAGAAAGAGTCAAACTTTAATGATGTAATTTTAAACTTCATATCATTTTGTAAAAAATTGATCTTTCAGTGTTTCCACTGTTTTTTATAATGAAAATAATTTTACGTTGTTACTTTGCAAAATGTTGAAATATTAGTCATGCTAACAATTGTAAACACAACACCATGCCAACTATTGTTGTCATCACAAACCATAATATTTTCTTATTAAAAAATGTTAATAGCACAACTCACCAACATAAGAAGAATATAATGCATTATAATAAGACAAGGAAAACGTTACTACAAATAATTTCAAATCCTAGCAATTGAATAAAATTTATTTGATCAAAGTAAAAATTATTATGAAATACTTTTACATTGTATACATAACGATAATAAGAAATTTAATATATATGTTATTATATATATATATATATATATATATATGCATGGAAATGAATTGGTATGAATTTTATTCTGTGCTAGACATGTTCAATCAATTAACATATTTTCTTCAAACATTTTATCAACTTTTTACATTAGTTAATATTTGCACATTTAAGATAATATAAAGAAATGAAAGCAGAAGAATGTGAAGAAAAGGCCAAACATGAAGGAACTTCAGATTCAGAGAAAAACAAAAAGGAAGGAAACATAGATTTAGATAAAAGTAAATTGAAAGCTATTGCTCGAAAAAATTTTGACAACATTTTGCGAAGTCAAATTGAAAGTAGATCATCAACAATCAACACAGAAGTCAATGATGTTGAAAAATCATCTCAGTTGATACGAATTGAAAATTCAAAGATCACCAAAGTGCAGGCAATTAAATCTTACTCACCATCCAACTTGCATGGTTCTCTCACAACGAACAATAAAAATAATGAAGAAGAAATGGTGATGCCGGCTAATAGGTCAAAGGAGAATACCATTTTTAAAGATAAAACACTGCAATCTATTGCAGCTATCAATTTAGCATTTAAACCTAAAGATGTTGACTGTCAAGTTTTTGTCTATGAGCCTATGTATGTAAACTCTTCAACACTTGGTTCAATTAATCCAGAAAAGAATTATAAAAGTGAGAAACTCCTTTCTGCTAAAGGAGCAAATAGTAGTCTTTCAGATTGCTTGCTGAATGAAAACACTACTATTTTCAAATGCTATATCTGTCCATATTATCATGTGAAAGAGATGATGGTAGCAAGGCATATGATTCAAATTCATTTATCTCAAAATATTTATAGATGTCACTACTGCTCGGCCCAGTTCTTAACAAATCATCTAGCTTATGTACACATCCAAAAAATGCATGAAAATGCAGAAATTAAAATTGATTTTAAAATATCTGATCAGATTTCCACCCAGCTAGGCTTAGCTTATAAAAAGAAATTTTATATACAGGATGGAAAAGCTGTTTCTCAAAGTGAAGTAGAAAATGTAACGACAAGTCAGAAATCAGGTTCCAGTGTTTCAGTAAAATGTCACAAATGTGGTCTCTTTTGTAAGTCAGTTGAGGAATTGCAGGAACATTCTAAATTAGTTCATTTTAGATACCGACCTTACAGTTGTAGTTTATGCAATTTTTCCAAGGTATGTTTTGCCAGTAAGCTTGATTTGGATCATCACATGAAAACCACCCATCCAAATGAACTCTGGGTTAGAAGCTCGATTTCTCCACCCTTGCCTAACAATAGCGGCAAAAAATTAGAGTGTAGTGTTAGTATTAATTGGTCGCTAGTCTGGGGTGAAAATATTCAAACAGGTAACATAATGTGTGAGTGGTGTTCATATGGGACTGATTCCTGTCGCGATATGTTTATACATGCTTCCAAGGAACACAACTGGAGCAAGTCTATTAGTTGTCCTACATGCAAAAAAACTCATGCTCTCAAGCCTTGCCATTTCATAGCTTGTCAAATAGTATGCAGCTGTAATACTACATTGAACATACAACATGAAAAAAATAAATCACGTGTATCTTGGATGGAGAATTCATACATCTGCAAATTATGTTCACACAGAGCCTATACAAAAAGTAGCATCATGCGTCATTTGAAATACAACCACACAGCCTGTAAACCATTTAATTGCACTTATTGTTCTTATGCTGCCAAAGAGGTCTCAAAAATCAAGACTCACATTTTGGCCATACATCCTGACAAACCAGTTGAAATATCTGATAGGGAACAAAGCAATGAGGAAATTAAGAAGGTTCTTGATGACCTGTTTGAAACTCATGTCCAAATTGAGAAGCAGAGTTTTGAGAATGCTACTGCAGTTAGCAATTCTAGTTTTTCAATAAAATTGGCTAAGAACTCATTGGGAGGTTTTCAATGTGGCTTGTGTCCTTATGTAAGTCATAATGTATATGAGGTTTACAGCCATGCCAGGTTGGTGCATGAACAGTTTGTCAAACCCGAGCGTAAAAACTTTGTGATCCCTTATGGAGAACACTACAGGTGTGTCCCATGCGGATATCGCTGTTCAGACAGATCGTGCATGTCTCGTCATGCCAAGTACATGCACATCACCTCTCGACCTCATTCATGTCCTTACTGTGCTTACAACAATGTCGAGAAGACAAAAGTTCGTCTTCACGTTCTCTCACACCATCGAGACATGCCGAAGGTTGTTAAAACTAATCAAAGACTTTTAGAGGAGATGTCAATAGAAGCTAAAAAGTTTTATGTCAGAGTTGATGAAAAAGGTGATTCGCTAAATTTTTTCTCTACTTTCTAATTTATTGATTGATCAAAACAATTTCATTTGTATTATTGGTTGTTGTGTAAAGCTTGGAGGATTTTTGATTTTGAATATATGTTTCAAAGCTGACTCAGTATTCGTTAAGAATTTTTCAATAATCAGAAGAATGCTGAGAAAAGTGAGAAATTTTTTTGACCCGTTCTTCATGAACAAGGTCATGAAGTGAGATGGTGAACTATTTATTGCTAATTTAGAGTTTTTAAATACAGTGTAATGGATAATTACTAACATATAATATATTAAAACAAACATCTAAAATATATTTTTTGTTTTTGGTAGGAAATGAGTACATGGAGTGTAAAAATGGTGGAATTATTAATGTCACCAAGCATTCAACATCTGATCTTAAAAAAGTGGATGCCATTGATGGTCAAAATCAAAATTCATTCAATGAAGGTTCTTTCCATTTTATTTGAAACCATTTTAAACAGTTTGCCATAAATGCCTGGAAAAATTTAATAGGTAATTTTTTTCTTAACATAATAAACCTTTTGAAATTTTAGTTGTTGCACTAAGAGAAGAGCCAATGGACGTAGAAAATGTAAAGGTTCAAGAAACACATTTTGTTGAATTTGATGATTTTAAACATCCATTCGAAGAGACATTGCTCGATGCAACAGCAGTCACGATGAACGTGGAGGAAAGTAATAATGTGAAACACGGCGACAACCTTTCACAGAATTCTTCAGCAATGATGGGAAATCTTCCATCATCAATGATAGAAGGTGAAGATTTCTCTAATATGAACAATTTGAGTGATGAGGTACTGGAGAACTTTTCAGAAAATGAAAATGAAGATGTTGAGATGGTTGCTGATGAAGATGATAATTCTTTTGACTTCAGTAGTGAATCCGATGTTAATGTGGGTGGTGATGGTGATAATGATGAGGAAGATAGTTATTTTTCATCCGAGGGATGGGATGCTGTTAACAAGTCATTGAAACATGTTGAAATTGTAGACTTTAGCAACTTTCTTATTAAGAAAGAAACCTTGAAAGACGACAAAATTTCAAAGATGGTTCCAATTGTAAAACTAAAAGATGTCAACCGTGAGTATGATATCAATTCAGATGATGATTTGGATGACATATTGTCAAAAATTGTTTAAATGAATAATAGCTTAATCATGTTCATTCCCTTTTATTTTTTATATTTATTTTTCAATGATTTTTATTCTGTTCAAATTTATTTTATCATATCATGAATATAAATTTATTTGAAGCAAAACTAAATATTTATATATTTATTTCAATTTCATTTTAGAATTGCAAGATTTCTTATTCAGTTTTTTCTCTGAATATGTGAAATAAAACATTTGATTTAAACAACGTGTTCTTGTAATAAATGGGCGAGAAGAGTCAGACTTTATAGTTGCGTACTGGGTGGTGCCTTATTGCAGCACAATCGTTTTGCTTAGTTATTTTACAGTTTGTTAGTGGATGATACATATGTTGCCTTAAAAATCAATGTAGTGTAGTCCGTTGAACTCAATACGAGCAACATCCGAGCTGTCACTAAATCGTGAATCTCCATCGTTTTGAACAATACATGCAAATTTCTACACAATTATTTTGTTTTCATTAGCCAAAAAGAATCAAAGGAAATTCCTTCCTTATGAAAGAGATAACATTTTTCGACGTGGGAAATATTACTTGACGTCCATCGGCTTCGCGGCTTGGTTAGACTCGGCTTGGACCTTCAAGCCGACATTTCTCGGCTTGGACCTCAACGCTAGAAATGGTTTTTATAGTGTAGAATTTCAATTTAGTTTCCTAGGGTTTCACTACTGTTGTTTCTCTTAAGTGGTTTTTAAAACCAGTTGAATACCTACTCATAAAACAATAAGACGAATAATTAATATCTAAAAAAGTGCAATTGGAGTCCTTCCCCGATAAACTTAGAAGTAGAACACATTTGAACTGTATTATTGAGCATACTGAGTGGAAGCGGCTTCAAAAACCAATCTGTTAAGCTAACCGCAAAAATGATAATTGAGAATAGCGCTTCTGAAGTGAACTCATGAAAGAGGCTAAAAGTTCAGCTCTGCGACAGAATACAATTACAAGCCTTCTCTTGTATAATATTTTAGATGAATAGGCAAGATTTACTATTAACTTCAACTTGATTTAAACATTCATTAACAAATTCAAGAATGGTCATTAGGGAAGGTAAATTGGAACCTTCCTCGTTCTACCTACAACCACATTAAACAACATCAGGTTTCTTTTTTGACTTCTAGAACTGTCCACCATTTAAATTTTACAATGGATAAACAACTCCCACTTAATTTTGAAGAAGCTTATTGAAAAAACTTTGCGCAAGAAAGATTACTTGACTGACAAGCATTCACAAAATTGAAATGTGTTTCATCGGTTATATGTTTAAAACTAAGCATTATCTCTGGGTTGGATCCTAATAATTTAAAAAATTTAGCTTCTTATTAGGAATTATTTGATGTCACAATGTTTAATATATAACGATAAAATGATATTTATTTTCTGGAGTTTTGTCCAACATTCAAATATACTTGTTAATTCAAATGTTGAATAGAAATTTTTGTCACGGCCAGAGTTAAATGTAACAAAATATTTGTGTAAATTTTATAAATTGTTACAAATTGTTGCAGTAACCTAACAGCAGTAAACAAATTTAAATATTAAATACAGATTTCAATATGCAGATCATAAAAAAATGTAAGCATTAAAAGGTCTTCAACTTTTTTTTAAACTATCCATGCCCCAAGCAGAAAATTTCTGAATACGTAGCTCCTGGAATGAATGATACAAGTATAAAATACTGTGGAGATATCATTGACCCACACAAATCTTGGCTTGGCAAAGTTGATTCTTTGCCTCCAATTGAATGCAACTAAAACTGCCGGCTATATCCCAAATTTTTATTGGTTTTTGTCGAAACAGACATGTCATTCAGTTTCCAATTTTTTTTGACCGCACTTGAAAAAATATTTGAATATTTGAATGTCATTAAAATTTTTAGAATTTTACGTGAAACTTTCCAATGTTGATTTTCACTTTCAGATGTTAAAATCTTTTTTCAGTCCTCTACGTCGATTTTTATCATGAAATGACTTTTTCTAATTTTTTTAAACGACAATTTATCTTTCAACTTTATTGAAATTTAGCTTAAATGTTACATCCACAGGTTAATTAAAAATAATAAATCAAATAATTTCATCGCTTCGCCAGGTTTAATTAAAGATAACGTAAGCGTTAGTTCTTATTGAGAAAGTCAGTTAGTTCATTATACGTACGAAATCTAAAATATTTTGCATCGGCCGGGAATCGAACCCGGGCCGCCCGCGTGGCAGGCGAGCATTCTACCACTGAACCACCGATGCCATTACGCCTTACACAAAAAATATTTTCCGTATTAGTTTCACTAAATGTTATTTGCACATGTGTTGGTTTGTTGTTCACAAAATACGAGCTGCTCCTTGCATTTAAAATATAATTTAATTTGACAAGTAGTAAGGGCATTTCATCGGAAATTTCAAAAATCCGCCAATTAAGTTGTTGCCAAAAATTAATAAAAATTATAATTCTATTTTAAATAAACCGAACAATTTCCAAAAAATTCTAGTAAGGAAAATTGATAAGACAAACTTTAAATGATTCATGTCAACAAATAGGTAGAATTCATATAATGCTGTATATATATATATACAATTTCAATCAATCAATCTTCGTTTAGCGTCCAGAGGCCCAGTTTTCCGTAGGACGTTGTTTTCTTTGCCATCAACTTTTTGCGCCAAATTAAACGATCAGTTGTATCCATTTCATTTAAATTTAGAGCTTTCATGTCTTGCTCGATTGTTTGCGACTAGGACTTCTTTGGACGGCCTTTGGGACGTGTGCCAGGTACTTCAACATCTGCAAGAGAAGTTATGGCACTGTTTCCACTTCGTTTGACATGACCAAACCACCACAGACGGTGTTGCCGGCATTTGTCCTTTATATCATCTAAACCAGCATGACGCAGGATTTCGGTAGATTTGATGTGGTCCTTCATACTAATTCGATGCATCCATCAGAGCATTTTCATGTTGGTCCGTTGAAGTTGTTGTTCAGTTTGGTTGTCATTGAACATGTTTCTGCACCATATAACAAGACTGACTTATCACAGATTTATAAAGTCTTGATCGTAGTGGTAGTAGGATGTCACGCCGTATCAATATAGAGGCAAGGAGATGCCATTTATTCCAGGCTGTACGTATGCGTGCTCGAACGGTAGCTTCAGCTGTTCCAGTACAATCCAGAACATCCCCTAGATATTGAAACGATGTGACTTTCTCTACCTTATTGGCTTCAAAAACATTGCTATTTCGAATTTGTTGTTGTGGATTGATGCAAGCAGGACAAACAAAATTGGACACTTTAGATAAGTGGTATCTCTGGTATCTAAGAGACTTAATTCGTGATTCTATGCTCATTGGCATAGTTTCAGAAACGTCTTAAGTTCTCAAAAGTGGATTTGGTACGAGACTCTATGCTCATTGGCATAGTTTCGCACGCGTACTAAAGTCACACAATTTGTTCCCAGTGTTGTTCTGACTCTTGTTGTTTTGTGTTGGTTGTGCGAAAGCCTACCAGACTCGACGGCCCAGTGAAAACAAGCCAGGTTTGTGCGAAAGCCGACCGACTGACTGACATGCCCAGTGAAACACAGGTCCTTGGTTGTGCAAAAGCCGATCAGACTCGACGGCCCAGTGAAAACAGGCCAGGGCTGTGCGAAAGCCGACCTACTGACTGACAGACCCAGTGAAAACAGGCTTTGGATTCTGTGAAAACGAATCCGCCTCGTTGTTTTGTTTTTGTTGTGCTATTTGTGGACCTAGGGTTCTTTGCTGGATCCTATACTCATTGGTATAGTTTTGCACGCAGCTTGGAATTTCCATAGGCTCCAATTTTTGTAATTTTTCTGCATTCATTTTATTTATCTCTCGGAGTTGTATCGACACCACCATCGGTCACACACGTCGAGGTTGTACGATTGAACGGCAAGAAACATATCCCAAGTTGCCCGACCCAACAAGAAGTTCTAATTCCTGTATTCCAGATTGTTCATTGACTTTATTTTTAACATTATTCTAAAGTTCAGTTAGTTCAATTCCTTTTCATTTACTTCCGTCGATTAATAAAATTGTTATCGAATATTTTACGCGTTCGTGTGTTACTCAGTAAAATCATATAATTCGAAAAAGCCCAGTTTAGTGCAGATAATTATAAAATAGCTAACATTCTAAATATAAAACAGTTACATATTTTGCATTTATTACTTCTATTTTTTAAAATATTTAAATTAAATTATTGTCAATCTCTTTATGATCAATTAGCATTGTATAAGAATACTAGACAAATTTCGTTACGTTTTATTCCAGATTTTTATTTTCCCAAATGTAGGTCTAACTTCTTTCTTAATTCTGCCTTGTCTTATTCTATGCGTCTTTGGAATGTGCTACCTGTTGATGCAAGGGACTGTTCTTCTCTAGGTCTTTTTCGCTCATCGGTTAATCAGCTAATCTTACTTAATCATTTCACACTAACTTGATTTAAATTGTGTATTTATGCATAGTTGTTTATCCTTTGTTATTATGCATACTGTTTTTTTTATTTTTTATTTTTTTTTTATCTTTTCAGTTTTATATTCCATTCCAGAGTTGATTGTTGATTTAAGTTAACTTGTTTATTCCTGTTTGTTTTTATTTCTGTTTTAATTGTGAGTTAATTCCTGTTTATTTTAGCTTGTTTAATTTTGTTTATTTTTAGGGTGACCTTACAAGCTTTTGCTTCGGGTCTCCTAGCGTGTGTGTTACACTTTGCTGAATAAACGCAGATTTGATTGATTGAGTTTCAACTGTCATATCAGACTGGACAAAAATGATCAGTTGTTTAAACAGCTTTAGTGAATCAAGGTGAATCTTTTTTTCGTTGATTATGGAAAACTATCTAAGTGATGATAGTGGTTGCACCTTTGATTTGACATCCACGGTCGATGTCACCTATTGTATAACAAGTTTGAGTATCATCTAAATCCTTATTTCAGCTGCAGTCTCTACATTGACTACATTCCCTCTGTTCTTGTGAATCCTGTTGAGAAAGAAACGAGCACCTACTTACTTCTTTCTATGTCAAATGGGCTGTTTTCCTCGAACCATTTACTTACCAACTTAACTGCCGATAAATCTTACTCGAGACGATTTTTTAGGGATCTCAACAAAATTGTTATTATAGATCATTTTTACATTTTATGGGGTACCTCATATTTTTATTTTTGTGAGTTTTCTGTAAACGTCCCAAAATTTTATAATCATTTACCACTTCTACAAGAGTAAAATAGCCTTTCCGAGTTGTTTGTATGATGCCTGAGCTGGTGTGTCCGGGACGCCGCAGATAAAACTACACAATAATGTGATCCTAAAAATTAGAATAAGACAGTTAAAAAGTAATTTTTCATTAATCGAGTGTACATAGTGAAATATAAATGCTAAGCACATATTATGAATTATTAAAAATACTATTTTAATGAAATTTTCAAAAATTTTTGGCAGCCTAATTTCAACAACCTTTTTTGGCATTTCCCACTGGAATTGAGTTTCAACATTTTAACCCATATTAGTATACACCTATATAAACATAATGGTAAAGAAATTGTTTGAGTTTCAACATTTTAACCCATATTAGTATACATACATAATGGTAAAGAAATTGTTTGGTAACAATTTAGTTGGCAGATTTTCATATCTTTCCTTAACTAAAGTTAAAAGTTTTTTTAGCCTACGGACGATCATCTCTAATCTATTGAAATATTGGATCAAACTTCGAGACACAAGCAACCAGCCTGGCAGCCGCATTCAAAACGGATCGAACATCATCCTGCAGTGACAGGTCGATTTCATACATCATCACATTGTAACTAGAGCTTTTGCTGACTCGGCTGTTAGATATTGTCTTATAGCTTGTAGTTGAAAAAAACATCAACTGCAAAATTTATTGACATGTGATTTGATCGAGTTGTCTGAATCCAACTCCATACCGAGATTCGTTACGTTTTGAATGACCAAGTTTATAGGGAGTTCCAGACCACATGTACTGAGTTTTTTAAAATTTAGTTTGAGTATATTTGCCATCAATTATTGGCCCACTGCATTAACTGTATTTGTGATGACTGTGGACAGACGATGAGATGAGTTTGTTGGCCGAGATGCATACAGTTGGATGTCATCGGCATATAAATGGCAGCAGATATCTGATGATACCAGTTCAAACGCAGGAAGCCCCCAGCAAATTTATTTGCATGTATTTGACAATTTAAAAGATGTAGGTTACTTGACTCTAAAAAATTACTAAACCCACCATGCGTTTACAATCCATCACTTATGTTACAAAATCAAGCTTTCTTATTTTTCATTCCGTGTCGTTGTTACCCGCAGTTCTGTCAATTTTTTACTACGAGTTACTACATCCAGCATCAAAATTTCATGGCTTAGAGGGAAGTGAAAAAATTTGTGAGTATTTATTTGGAATAAAATCCATACGAGGATTAGCTCGTATTTACTTAGCCCACAAATCCGGAATGTTCAATGAATTTAAGCGGGCAGTGCGATGGGGTAATGGTTACGGTGCCTGGCATCGTTGACGCAGTGCAGTGTCTGGATTCGCACGTGAAAAAATCCACGCCTGTCACACGCATTATTGTGTGATGCGTTGATTCACGTGTGTTTATACACTTAAATTAGTAATAAATTAAAATTAATTTATTAGGTTGTTGATAATGATGTAATATAACAAAGTTTTATGGTGGGTGTGTAGCCAAGCTAACGAAGCCATAATCACAAGATGTCATGGTCACAATTTAAAGCATAAAATGTAACCGTTGCATAAATCCGGCTTCGGCTCCAGTCGGATTTATGTTTGTAAATCCGGCTAAAACTGGATATATTGAATGAAAAAATGAATGAATCTATTAATCATTTAATTAGTTATTAATTAAGATATTAATTAATTAAGATATAAATGAATTAATAGAGAACAAACGACCAAAAAACAAACGAGTGAACAATCGAGTGAGTTAACTAAATAATAATAATTAAGCCATTTTTTAAATATTCTGAAACAGTTTAAAAAAAACGGTTTTACAAGAAAAATCTTCAAAATATGCGCAGGATTTTCAAGTGTCGCTAACTCATACAAAGATATATCCATACAAGTATACATATTAAAATAAAAAATAAACAACACTTCTTCATATACCTTAACATACACTTTGTTATATCTACATACGTAAACGCAATACATACACATATACGTACATGCATACATATATACATACACGCACACACACACACATATACATACATACATATGTGCTACGTGTTTTGTTTTCAAACGATTTGCATTAATAATAGAAAACTTTTAGTTGTTTATCAAATGACAAACAGATATGTGCTCTAGCTCCACTGTTACGCCACATGATTATAACGCGTACATTTAATGAATGACAAACAAGCCGTACTGCATAATTTTTATGAATAACTACATAGTTATAACTCCATGCTAACTTTAAATATATTACCAATAAAATAATAAAGTTAAACTGTTGTTGTTAATACAAAACTATGATTTAATTTAATTTATTGAATACATGCAAAGCAAGGCATACTTTGAATAGTACCTAATAAACTTTGTTGTGTGATGGCGAACGACATTTCAATGGGAGAAGAAGCAGGCTTATCGTGTTCCAGACGTACGAGGAGCATCTCGCTGCCAGACAAACCTGGCAGGTACAGTACTTGTATGGCTATCTTCACTGGCATCTGTCACCTGGTCTGTGGCATCGCCTGTTTGGTGCTCAGGACTGAAATATACAGCAGGATTCAATACAGTTTGCTTACATATGAAGTTGTCTTCCTTCTTGTACTTTCGGTTTGTAAATAATTTAACTATCGAAAAATTTTTTGTTTTTTAAGAATGATTTATTTGAAGTTTTTTTTTATCACTCGCAGTTTTATGTTGCAGGAATTTTTTCAATACAGTCTGCTCTCAAACAAAACTTTTTTTGGGTTATTATACTTATTAGCTCGAATTTGTCGAATTTGTAATTAAAATTTGAAATAATGCGTATCAATTAAAGTTTTACAATTGTCAACGTTAATTAATGTTTTTAAACAGATCATTGCAACTCTAGCTTGCAACATCAACAACTTTGTTGTCACTTTTATGATTTCCGTCTTGACAGATATTGAATATTCAAAGTTGTTCAGAGCTTACAGAAGAGATTATTACAAACTTGAGGTATGTGACTTATATCATGATATTTGGGAAATATTTATTTTGATGCCACTATCCAATTATGAGATAAAGAAACAGCAAATTTTATTAATAGGTAGAAACCTAACGATTGATTGAAACGTTCAAGTTTTTGTTAAAATAATTCCATTTTTTATTTAGTTAATTATTATTTTATCTTTTAGCTGGTTTCTACAAGTTCAATATTTTGTTTTATTTTTTAATTTATTTTATCGAGCAAGAAGAAGAACGTGCCTGCATAATTTAAGGCTGACAATCTATTAAAATAAAATTGATATTTAACACCCTCGACAAAAAACGAGTATAAGGGGTTTAAGGTCTATTACACTCTTCCAACAATTCATCTATAACTTGTTTTTTTAAACTTTTTGAACACATTGTTAAAGCTAAAACTTTCTTGCACAAATATCCTATTGTTAATAATTTCCAATTTGGTTTTACTAAAAATCTTTCAGCTTTTAATGCTATAATAACTTACAAATAATATAGTAACCAATTCAAATAACTCAAAAATTTTTAGCAGAAATTTTAATTAATTTCATTGAAGCTTTGATTGAGTAAATCACCAAATCCTTCTCTAAAAATTTCAGTATATCAGTATTTAGTTTTCGATGTAAATTTTACTATCTTCTTGAATCATTCTTGTCAAATCGTCACTAACGTTTTATTTTAAGATTGTCTCATCGTTGTGATCAGTGTCGAATGGTGTGCCTCGAACAATGAAATGAAATGATTTTTTATTCAACGACAATTCCAAATAAATGGAAAATAAACTGTTAGGATGATAGAGATAAAACGCAAAGTTTATCGAGCCCGACTATCTTTCAAAAGAGTTTATTTAAATATGAGTAATTTTAAACAGAAAAAGTGCAATGAAACTGTAAAAACAAAATTCTAATAATTTAGGATTTTAATATATAAATAAAGTGTTAATGATAATTTTAAAAATATTAGAACAAATTAGATTCTTTTATGAATAATTTCAAGGTCTTTTAAATTTGTACACAGATACTCCAGAGTCGGGACCCGAGCAACTAATATGAAAAAATAAAATGTTTTTTTTATGCCCGTTTTAAAACAAGAGAGTTTTGTTGTCGTGTTTCTCAGGTTTTTTTGTATTTGAAGTAATCAACAAATGCATGCGGAAGAAGGCCATTTAGCTGTTTGAAAACGAAAATTCCTGTTAGTTAAGCATGTTGTTGTTTAAAAAAGAAAACAAGATTTGATTGTGATGAAACATCTCTAGAATTTTTTAAGTGAAGATAACTGTTTGAGGGCATTTTTACTGCCCTCTTCATGAGTTGAGAAATTGCTTTAGTGTTGGATTTATACGTTGAAGCTTTCTTGGCTCTAAACCAATTTAAAACTTTTTTAAGTTCATTACCGACGTTTTCGATAAGAGACTCAATTCTGTGTCCGCTCCGGAAAATATTTGAGTGTTCTGCGTACAGTACAAAATCAAAAAACATTTACAAATTACTGATATCGTTGATGTATAACAGAAAAAGTAGAGGGCCCAGAATACTACCTTGCGGCAGTTCTATTGATCTCAACTTATTGATGCCGATTTAATAGGTAGCTTTCGAAACACTTGAGTGTTGTGCCCCAAAATACGAATACACATAATTTTTAAAAAAGAATGCTGTGATCAATAGTATCAAACGCTTTCGATAAATCTAGAAAAACTCCCACGGTGTATTTTTTTCTGCTGCTTCTCCGATGCGTTTTATCAATCCTATCGCCAACTCGGTAGAATATCCTTTTCTTAAGCCAAATTGATTTTTATTTAGGATGTCAAATTTTGAAATAAAATTTACCATTTTTGTTTAAATCAGTCTTTTCAAAATTTAAAAAAAAATTGAAAGCAACGAGATTGGCTTAAAATTTTCCATGTTTAAATTATTTTTGAAATTTTGAATTGATCTGGAAAAATACCAATGTTCATTGATAGATTGAAGATGTGACATAATTGTAGCAATAATGATTTTTATTGGAATTTTATCTTCCCACAAGAACACTTTTTTTAAAAGACTTTGTTGCTGAAATCTTTAGAAGTGACGTTAACGTAGAAAAAATGAGTTTAATACGTTGGCAGGCATACGTTCGTACCATTGCCTATGAGTTAGAAGATTCTGATTGTTGAAGGTGGCGATTGGTACGAAATGTTCATTTAGATGTTCTGCAATTAATTTAGGATCGTCTGTACCGGAGTCATTTACTGTCAAACGTTCGTTTTTAATCGACTTTTGTTAGGTTTCTTAGTCAATCTATTTAAAATTTTCCCTGTTTCATGGCTGTTGTTTTTTTATTTCAAAAGATTATCATTAAAATATGCTTTTCTAGAAATTAGTTGAATAAATTTCTATACTTTTTGCATGCTTCAATGTTTGTTGATGTCGGTTTTTGCAAATATTTTACATACAAGCGTTTCTAAGAAGTCATAAGAGTTGAGGTCATCTATGGTTGTTTGTTCAAAGATGCTATTTTTTTTACTATGTATAATGACAACAGGTTTTAAAAAGTTGATTGAAACTATTTAAGAACAGTTCTAAGGCATGATTTGTATTGTATTTGATGACTTGTATAGCGCCCCTCCAGAATGACATCAGAAGCGCTACCATCGCTGTTGAGTTGAATAGATGATTTTTTAAATGTTTCTTGAACATCTGTCAATCCTCGATCCATGCTGCTGAATCTTTTCAGATTTGCATCATTATAAATAAACAGATCGGTCCAATCAGATTTGTTTAAATAACTATTGAAATTTTTAATTCTACTCGTTGAATATGAGATTTTAATATCAACCGGACCGGATGTTTTTTTCTTGATTTGCTGGGTTGTTAAGCTGTAAAAATGTTGCCAAATGGTCTGACATGTCAATGTACGCTGTACCACAACAAGTTATTTCATCTGGTAGGTTTGTTACTAAAAGGTCTAGGAAAGAAGACTTGTTGCAAGATATACGAGTTGGGATCGAGAGAAGTTGAAAAAAATTGTTGGAGGTTGAAATATTAGCTCTTGACTACCAACATTGATTTATTGATTTTTCATTTAATTTAGATGGTTTGGCCAGTTTCTTTTGTTGTTTACTTATAACTTCCGTGAAATCGTCGTCTTGATGAACATGTTCCTCATGTTTTGTAGAGTTGTCGATTGGGATTTGAGGTAAATTTCGTTAAAATGAATTGTTTAACAAAGAATCGACTTGTAAAACACTTTGAGCGTTTTTAGTATCAAATTGATTTATTTTAATTTGCGTTGGAATTTTAACGGTATCGGACCATAAACGTCATTTTTCTTTGTTGAGCGCTGTGGATTTTCAATATTTGTTTATATATAGCATTGTTCAAAACTTTTAGAGACGGACAACTGTTGTTCAGACAAAAAGTCTAGCATATTTCTATTTATCATTTCAAAATTCAATTGAAATTTTCAAACGTGGGTATTTTTTTCATATTTAAACTCACGAATGAAGTACATTTATCCACATTTGACACTTTCAACAGTTTGAAATACGAAATACAATCCATGAGTTTATTTCTTTTTTTGCACCTCGTGTTGTAATTTTTTCGAATTTTTCGCCTTTTAAGTTTTCCATTTCGGTTTTCAGATTTTTTAAAGCAACAGTAATTTCTTCGTCGTTATAAAATTTAACTGTATTTTAAAAAATATTTCATTTTTTAGAAAATTACTATTATTTAATAAAAAAAATATAGCAGCTCATTTAAAACAAACCATTTGGTAGCCATTATGAACCCAAAGATCTTATAATTTCTTCTTTTTACTCTTTTTCTAAACAACATAGTTAATATTTCTGGTGATGTTAAAATGATCCTCCATGCAGACGACTGCACAATACTTCTAACTGACCAGGATCTGGACGTTTGGGGAAAAAGGCTAATTAATTTTTAGAAATAGCCAATGACTGTTCAAATCTAAATAAGTTAAAAATAAATCTTTCGAAAACTAAATTCGTGTAATTTTTAATTATAATACAAATTAAAAAATCGATAACATTCATCTAGAAATAGATAATACTCTCCTGGAGATGGTAGATAATTTCAAATTCTTGACGTCACCATAGATTTAAAAAACAATTTTAAAAATCATATCCAAAATATAACTTGTGAAATAAATATTTTGATAAGCTTACTTTAGCGCATAAAGCATTTCCTAATTGAAAAATCGAAAAAACTGTCATACTATTTTTTGACTCTCTTCTCACTTCTTTCTCGGTAAATCAATCTGGGGATGTCCAAATTAAACATCAACGCAATATTTTACCCATTATTAGTGTAGACAACAGATCTGAAAGGTTTTCTAAAGCAAGTCAATGAATGTCTTTATACTTTAGCTACAGAAGGTGAAGAACGCGCTTAAACATACAAAATAAACCAGATGATAACATGCAATTGGAGGACTTGATCTTGAGCACAGCCGTTACCAAAGAAGGAAAAAGCAATTCGGAATCTCTACCTTCTGTGAACACAACACATGTTACAGAATTCTCTAAACAGCCAAGTAAAAAAGCAAAATCTTCTTTTGCATGGTTTCAAATTCAAAATATAGGTGGCAACAAAGCTAAATCGGAGACAAAATCTGTTGTTTTAAAATCTCTCAAGCAGAGAACAAATGATGAAATTAAGCGATACAATGCGAAATGCATCTATTTCACATTAGATTCAGAGGAGAACAATGTGTTCATTTCATTATCACGGTGAAAGGAGATTGCAACAGAATTTCCAATATTATCTGACATTGCACGGCGCCTTTTCGTAATTACTGCATCGTCTGCTGAATGGGAACGCCATTTTAGGAACTTCATCACAGCACAACGTAACGGGATACACCCAGAAGCTTACAAGAACAAGTTTGTTTAACTCTTGAAACAATTTCTCAAGTCCTGAAACTGTAACAGAATAATAGTCAATTTTTTTTAGTGAATTTGTGTTAAAATTTTAAATTGACTGTCATCAATGTCTTTCTACATTGTCATTGTAATCATTGGGATTTTTTGGCTGCTTGCAGCTAATGTTTGCTGTTATTAAAAATGATGTGAAAAGTAACATTATCAGTCATTTGTATTTTTATACTTTACAAGTATGGAATGGGTGCATTGATGGGTGCATCAAACATTGATGGGTCACTTAGGTCATGGGTCAAAACTGTTGACCGATAGTCAGCTCTGGCAACAATAAACTTATGATTAAATCCTTAATAGTTACAAGTAAATGCAACAGTAGAAACATTATATTTTATGGTCCAAATATATGGAACAAACGCCCTTTTCATTCAAAATAATCTCCTCGTGCAAAGCATTTAATATACATTTGAACGTCCTACCTCGGGGGAACTGGGTCTCTGGACGCTAAACGAAGATTGATTGGTTGATTGATTTAATATGCATTTGAAAATTTATTTGTTATGACTATTATAATTGTTTTACAAGTAAATGCAACAGTAGAAACATTATATTTTATGGTCCAAATATATGGAACAAACGCCCTTTTCATTCAAAATAATCTCCATCATGCAAAGCATTTAATATACATTTGAACGTCCTACCTCGGGGGAACTGGGTCTCTGGACGCTAAACGAAGATTGATTGGTTGATTGATTTAATATGCATTTGAAAATTTATTTGTTATGACTATTATAATTGTTTTCATTGTACAATAAGTTATATAATATTCCGGTGCGTAAATGTGAGCATCTCTTTTCTGGAAATGTTTTTTTTGAATAAATAAAAAAACTTAGCAAATAAATTTTGCGATTATAATTTAGGAACACATGCCATTCGGCATCATTGCTTTCATCAATCTTTTTTCATTTGTGGAAGCCATTGCTTCGCTGATGGGCTTTTTCAACGGTGTGCGGAGTTTATTTTTTGGCAGGATCAACACCGTTGTGGTATGTTTTTGACCATAATCATTCAACAATTTCTTTTTTTTACTTATAATTGATTTTTTCAGTCGTTTGTTTACATAAAAATTAAATTTCAGCAATAGTATAAATCATAGGCGTAGCCAGGGTATTTTGCTGCCGAGGACAAACTATAAAATTGGCGCCCCCCTCTCCATGTTTATTGACATTTTTCATTACATTAACATTGTAAATAATACTATTTACAAAAACAATTCAAATTTTAATGGAACATTGTATTTAAAGATAAAACTTAAATATACAAATTATAACATATGATTCAGTCACCGTTAAAGATAATTTACATAGTTCACAATAAATTTATTTTTCTAGATTTCATTGTTGCCAACTGATCAATTATTATTAAATCTGTCATTTCCAATGTATCTCATTCAACACTGAGACGATTTTGCCGATAAAATAAGTTTCACTTTGCTGAATGATCACTCACAGTTCGCAGTTGAAACTGCTATTATCAATAAAATTTGTAGCGAAATTCGCAGATTTGGAAATACGTCATTTCCTTGAAACACAATAAAACCAAGAAGATCCAAAGGACTTTCCGGTAGTTCTTCAGTTCGGTTACTGAGCAGCATTCTGCAATCATCAACTTTGATAAAATGTTCATAGCCATTGATGTCCGTGTCATATAGAAGTTTGAAAAATTTGTACAATTTAGACAAATTGCATCCTCATTTGTGGCAGATATAAGAGTCCAGCAAAAATACAAATTTCAAGTCTTTTAGTCGTGAAAAACGGGTTGACATCTCATGTTGAAGCTTGTGATAAGATTTTTACACTTGTGAAAATTTTGTCAGCCTCATTTTGGCAGCCTTTGTACTTGGTGCCCGGGGACATATGTACCCTCCACCCTAGCTACGCCTATGGTATAAATTTATCGATTACCCATGTTTGTTTAGCTTTCAGCTTAATTAAATAATTTCCAGTTTTGCATAAACTTTGTAAGGTATGGTAGATTTCAATGATGCTTGTGATGCACTATTGATGAAAATTATTAAGAAAACAAGAAATAAATTATTTTTATTTATTCAAAGTAAGAAATGTGAAAAAATAAGAAATTGTCCAATTTTAAAATTTTTGTAAATACTTTCTTAAAGTGAATTAAATATTGAAATCCGCAGATGAAAGTTTCGGAAGGAGAAAAAATAAAATTATCTGATGACGTACAATTAGCCTAATATTTTTTCTTCACAAAAAATTTTCACTCTATGAAAAAAATCCCTTCTGTTTGATTATAAGTTAGAGAAAACATTTTGACATAAATTGACATAATTTTTTTAATGTAAAATACATTGATTGGTTTTGATAATTTTTCTTGAAAACGTTATATTTTTTTATTATATTTAACCCCATTCTAGTCTATTCTAATTTTATATGTTATTTTAGAACTGCAATTTCAATAGATTTTTATTTTTAAACGTAATCAATTGTCAGAGTATTTTACCTTCAAACCAATTCTTGACAAGAAACATTTTATTAGAATGTTATTTTATTATTAAAATTTATTATTTTATATTTGATTTTTTGAATAAATTGAAAATTGTCAATCAACTGATGAGGATGATTTACTCTACAAGTTTGAAACACCAACGCATTCAAAGCTGGATGGCAAGGTTTTTAGCTTAAAACTTCATTGCATGCTTCTGTGCAGTGTATTATTTATATCCTTCTTTACAGCTGGCCCTTTTAATTACAAAATTATTATTACGAAAAATTCTTAATTCTAATTATTTTGTTTCAACGATTTTAACAAGTCTCATCACTTCTCGTATCTACTTTTTACCCTGAATGACATTAAATTGTTTTCCATTTATTAGTACCTAGCTTGATTGATTTTTTTTGACTTGTCACAATTATAACGTCTATTAAACTATAAAAAAGGTCTTAACATTTCAGTCAGACATCTCTGGATCTTACTATGCAAGACTTCACTTATGACGTTTGTAGGTTTTCAAGAGCAAATTATAAAAGCTTTGTTTTTTTGACGTCTAATTATTATAATCTTGACTAAAATTTTTTGGCTCGTCTTGTTGCTGGCTGAAGCAAAGAAAGAATGACACTTCGGTTGTAATCTTTGTACTTTCCGGATTCCAAGATTCTTTCATTCAAACAAACGACTAAACACGGAAGGTACAAAATAAGAATCTAAAATGGTGAGATCGCCATCGCCATGCTATGGGCCTCTCTTCTTTGCTATTTCTTCTTATATCATTGTTTTAGGTACATTGGTTAACTTTTATATAAAACAAAGGATTATGTTTTAAAATATTCAATTTCATGAACAAGTTAATTTTTAGTGTGAGGATTTTTAATGGGTAGGCATGAAAAGAAGCATCATTCTTTTGAGCCTTTGCTGGATTTGATTTATAACAGCTTTCACACTCATACGCAGAACATCTACATTTTATCTTAGATGTAGCTACGTTGACACATTCACATCTATGCATCTTATAAACTGCGTTCTCAGAAGTTCGCCAAGCAGCACGATCTAAAATCAGCCTGGCTCGTATATATATATATATATATATATATATATATATATATATATATATATATATATATATATATATATATATATATATATATAGAGAGAGAGAGAGAGAGAGAGAGAGAGAGAGAGAGAGTATATACATATATTCTATATATATGGCCCGGCTATATGAGACCAGAAAAAAAGATAACAAATTTTCACAAATATTATGCAAATGCATGAAATAAATCGATTAAAAAATAATGAAAATGAATAAAATCTTTAAAAAATGAATAAAAATAAAATAAAAATTTATTAATAAACTATAGAAATATCAAAGAAAATAAAAAAATTGTAAAATTTGATGAGTTTGATAAATAATTGTTTAGGCAAACTAAGGAACGAGACCAGACTCCAAAGCGCACTAAAAATGTGCGCGGGTGAGTTCGAGGGCCAACGTATGTATATTAAATATTTGTTTTATTTATATATATATATATATATATTGTTTGTTATATCCATGACTAAATACATTGTTATTTCCATTTATGTAGAATATCAGTTATTTCTTTCTGAATAATTGATAAATATTAAATAATAATAACTAATTTTTAAATTAATTATAGTAAGAACATTTTTTCATTCTAAGTACATGACCAACATTATTCTACATTTATGAAAACCACCAACTAGCGCGGTTGAAAATGTTATTTAGTTTTTAGTTTTTTTATTCGCAATTTACTTTTCCTTTAATTTTTATTCTTTGGTAATTAAAACTTTTATTATCGTTACGCTTGTTGTGGTAGTCCGTTTAATTGATTTTAGGTTAGTGCCGCACGTTTCGTTGACGTCGATCGTTACTGCTCAATTTTTGTTCTATTTTATTTTTGTATTTGAATACCCAGCGCTCGCTAGAAAGAAATACTAAATAAAAAAATTAAGAAGACGGAAGACTTGGAATTGCAGCTTGACTTGACTGAGGTGAGCCTTAGTTTAGTTTCGTTTAGTTTAGACTTTAGTTTAGTTTAGACTTTAGTTTAGAGAGTAATGGATTGATTTAGAGTTTTATGAGTTTTAGACTTTAGTTTATTTAGAGAGTAATGGATTGATTGTTGCATGATAGTATGCTTTTTTGTTTTGTTTGTTTGCTTTCTGTTTGTGTGTCCCATGTTCTCTTTTGATCTCTATTTTTTTTAATTTTGATTTTATTTTTCCTTATTTTTTCTACAGTAGAGTTAGAGCCAGTGGCGGATCAAGACAACTTTGAGAGGGGGAGGGCAAAAAATTAAAAATGTTTAAATTTTTACTGTGACTAAGATTCGTAATAGTGTGATTGATGACCTTTTTAGCTTATCTTATACCATTTTTTAGTAAATTTTATGTATAAAATATAAAATAAATGGTACTTTTTCTGGCTTTTATTAAAAAACTCCTCACAGTTGGAGGGCCAGAGCTCTCTAGCCCCCTCCTAGATCCGCCGGTGGTCAGACCTCCTTATAACGAATTTCTATACAACAAAAATCCCTATATTATATAACAAATTTTTTTATGTCACTTGGAATTTACATATAAAACTGTTTCTGTAGAATGAAAATAGTTTTTCTACAATTCTATGGACATTAAACAAAATTTATAAAAGTTGAAAAAATATCCAACAATTTTTAACATAATAATTATTGAATATAGTTAACTGTGAGTTAAATTTCTGTATTATTCTTTAACGTACTAGGCATTTTGCTTTGTACATATATAATGTGAGTGGAAGTACATGACTCATAATATTATGTTATGCTATTTTATACACTTTATTATGTATTATTACTTTTCGTTATAAAAATAAATGATTAAGATGTTGATTTTTAATAAATGTAGAATTTTTTCCTGAACGAATTCTTCAAAATTTTTATTTAGCAAATTTTTCTTAGACACATCAAGTTTGTCGTATGGAGTTTCGACTGTATTTAGTATTTACTTTTCTTCTTATCTTAATAGATTGTTTATTCTAACAACTGATAATAATACCATAAAATAAAATCTTTATTTGATATCTCAAATGAATTAATAAATAAAACTATTATAATATTGATTAGGATATTGGATTTAAAAATTGAAGATTTGAAAATTTTAGAATTGAAGTTGAATAACAGTTGAATTAAATTCAATATTCATCGTTAGTTAACGTTAATTTTTTTTTTTCAAAGAAGTCGATCATTGAGTTGAAAAATAAAATATCCATCACAGTATTATTCTTAACAATTTTTTTGGTCAAATTTAAAATTCTGCGCAGCCATTTTTCTCTTTTAAAGATAGTATCTATTTTATTCAATGTGTGCATTGTAGTGTTACAGAACTACCAGAGTGACAGAGTTGGAGATTTTTGTCTGAGTCAGAATTTTTTGAGTGGAAAAATGTTATTAATTTAAAAAAAAATTTTTTCTGAAAATTTTCTTAAGATCGTGTTTTTTGGTAGGTAAATATGCAGTCATATTCAATACTGAAAATAAATGCTAATCTGTAAATTAAATCACATAATTTTTTTAGTATATTTTAAAACATTACAATTTATCTTACTAAAAAAACGATTACATTGACTGATTTTAAATGGTTTTTAAAAATTTTTTATTCAGTAGTGATATTGAAGTAAAATTGTTAGGGAAAACGTGAAAAATTTTTCTGGGATTTGGGATCCAGAGTTGAGAATTGGAGTGGGAAATTTTTACCCGGAGTCAGAATTTTTTGAGGAACTCGAGTCTGAGTGGGATTTTTCATCTGACTGACATCCTAGCAACTACAATGGAAAAATTCATTTATTATAAAATTTTTCTAAAATTAATGCTGCAAATTTTTTTCTATTGTTCATCAGTTAATGGTTAAATTTTTGTTTATCAATATATCTTTGCTGCATTTAAGTAAAATTGTGAGGCAGAAGTTGAAGTAATTTAAGTATTCAACTGGGAGTTGGGCCTATGGTCGAAAATTTTACCCAAGATTGGAGTCTGAAAATTTTAAATCAGTCATAGTCATAGTCGAAAAATTTTGAATAAAACAGAAAAATTTTCATCCAACTTTAAAACCCTGATTAAAAAGAATCTTTGGTGTCATTCAGTTTAAAGCTAGAGCTAGATTTAGCAAGGCATCTGCTGGCTTTGGCTGCTTCTCATAATGTTCGTAAAAAATGTTCATAAGAAAGATGCCTGACAATATTATAATAAAATAAATAAACAAAAGTTTGTTAACATGTTTTACCATTTTTTGTCTCTAAATTAATATTTTTTTTTTAAATAATTGATATAAGCATATATAAATTATTACTTTAGAAGGAAAACCAGCAGAGTTGAAGATGACAACATGTGGTGTGACATTTGATGAGGAGTGTGACAATCGATCAAATTTTCCAAGTGAAGCTTCATTCCAATTATTTAAAAAGCAAAGGTTATTTTCTTTCTTAA